AACTTTTTTTTTTTTTTTTTTTGAGACAGGGTCTCACTATGTTGTTCAGGCTGACCTTGAACTCACTGTTCAGGCTGGTCTGGAACTCATGACGATCTTCCTGCCTCTGCCTCCCAAGCGCTGAGATTACAGGCATGTACCACTACACCTAGCTTCAGAAGGAAACCTTTAAAAGCTGGCTTAGGGCTTTTTATTCAGTATTAGAACAAGTGCTCTGACTTGCCTAGAATTGAAAGAATTCAGCTTTTCTTGCCACCTTGCCCACATCTCTTAGGTTCTTGTTAGGTTTGTGCCTACCCAAGCCTCTGTCTAGTAAGTGGCTCTATAGCTTCCCCAAGAGAGTGCCAGCAGCCCATCGTGGCGGTAAATGTGGTCCCTACCTGAAGATAGGGCATCTAGATAAAAGGTTTGAGCTTCATTCTCACTCCAGAGGAACCCGTTTCCATCTGCTTGAGGCAGAATAGTCCACAGACTTGGAAACTAACCAAAGAACTATATTGGCTGGACATTTCTAGTTGTAGGAATCCAGGAAACATCTTCCACATTTTGCGCTCAAATGGGAAAAGCTGTCAGGTCCAAGTCATTGGCTCTGTTGTAGACAACATGAAAATGCATTGTGATTTTTAAAAAGAGGCCATCTCTGCTTCAGCTTTCCTTAACCCTCCCAATTTGTAGCTTTGACAAAGCTTTGGAACTAGGGCTGTAGGTAACCATACCTGCTGGTGTTTCTTCCCGGGAGTTTTGGGTTAATTCAGTCAAGGAAGCTGCTCTCCCTGTCCTCACCAAAAGCATGACTCGAGGGTGAGACCAGGAACTGGTCCACTCGGTGCTCTAGGGAACTGCAATAAACCAGTGTCCCACCCACAGTTGAGAACCTGCTGGCCTTTTTATGGGCATATCTAGGAATCTAGACAAATCCCCAGGCAACTCTCAGGGGAGCCTGAGAAAGCCAGGAAAACCTGTATGGATGAAGCTTGGACCTGGCAGTGTGCCTAAGCCCTCGCGCTTGGGCCCACCCACCGCCACTGAACTGATTTCTGCAGAAGACCTCAGGAACCTGCATTTCTAGTAAGGCCCCATCCCACTAATGCTCACTAAAATTTGGAATCCACTGCAGGATCAAACACTTGGCCCCGCATCCCACCAGGACACTGGGAATGATCAGGGAAGGCCCTGTTCCTTGCAAAGGAGAGCTCTTGCCCAACCACCAGTCCATTTTAGCCTGGCAGCACAGCTCTTTTCAGCTTAGTGTGAGTGTAATCCCAGTCCTTGGGAGGCTGAGGCAGTAGGGACACCTGAGTTCAAGGCCAGCCTGAACTATATAGTCCTGGGTCAAGAAAACAAGCCCCCCCGCAAAAAAAAGTTTTGCTCTTTCTATGTGCTTAAATCTCTGTGTTTTGTTAGCAACCTGCATAGTTATGAAGCTCTCTCCTTAACCTCAGATCGCTCAGCCTCTGCAGAACACAGTGGTATTCAGTGATACACCCAAATGTCAGCCTCTTTTGTCCCATTTTCCTCTAAGTTTTCTTTTTTTCTTTCCCCTCTCAGTACTGGGGATCAAACTCAGGACCTTGCATTATCCAGGCAAGCACAGTACCACTGAGCTACATCCCTGGCCTCTTAAGTTTTGAAAATGTTTTGTTTGTGTCCACTCATGACCAAGTGTCCCTTGTAGATAGCACCACGGTTTGCGGCGGCCTCGGCCTCCCCCAGTGTAGCCCAGGCCCACCCCAGCAGACAGCAGAATTGGCTGTGAGCTCCCCATGGATTTATTACCTCCCTCTGTCCCACTTTTTTTCTTTTTATTGAATTAATTGGTACATTTTAGGTATACAGTACAGTTACATTCATCATTGGGATCTTGTACCTTTACATGACAGGTCTTGGTTCTCATTTTTTCCCCTTGTCCCTGCCCTCACTTCACCCCCTCCTCCCCTCCCCATTTACAAACACTTTATTTCCATTTTTTCATTTTCTCATTTTTTTTAATTTTCCCTTATTCCCTTTCCCCTGCCCTTCCCACTTTCCCTACACCTTTAGCCCTTTTCTTCCTAGTTCACATGGTCAATTATCTCATTAGGATCTTGTGTACTATTATAGTTTTTCACACCAGAGAAACTTCGGTATTTATACCTGTGTGACTTATTTATTTCACTTAGGAGTATATCCTCAAAATGTATCCATTTTCCTACGAATGAATCTAATTTCTCATTCTTTATGGCTGAATAGTATTCCATTTTATAGAAAAACCACATCTTCTTTATCCAGTGTCCCACTTTTAAATATCTTTTTTTTTTGTCTTTGCTTTTGGAATAGGGTCTCCTAGGTAGCCCGGGCCGGGCTCCAACGTGTGGACAGTCCCCTGAATGCTGGGGGACCACAGGTGTGTACCGCCACACCTACCAGGAGGTCAGTTTTTATTTAAGTTCTGCCGCTAACCAGACCTAAACAATAGCCTCAGAAAGGCATTTACTGATTTGGGTTCTGTTACCTCTTTGGTCCCTGGCAGCCTCTAGTTTTGTCATGTAAATAAAATTTTGACCTGTTTCTCCCTTCTTCCCACACTAGTGCTTCACTAAGGGATGCAGCTTTTGGACTTGGTATTTAGAGGATGATGAGATGAGACGGTGGAGATCCTAAAAAGGCGCTTTTCTAACATGCACCCCACTGACTATGCCCCAGACTGCCAGAAATGGCAGGATAGCATGTACACAGAGAAATCATCCCAAGAACTCCTTTTTTTCTTTCTTGTGGTTCTGGAGATTGATCCCAGGGCTTTCACGATGAGCTACATCTCCAACCCCCTCCCCCCTCTCTCCAGGCTCATTAGGTTGCCTGAGCTGGGCTCAATCTTGTGATCCTCTTGCATCAGCCTCCTGGAGCTGTGGGATGCCAGGCATGCTGCATGGCAAGAACCTATTTTTAATGTTTTTCAGTGCTAAGGATCGAACCCAGGGCAAGTGCTCCACCACTGAGGTACCCCCCACCTGGACAACCCACTTTCATTGAAAGACTGGGTCCTGCCCCCAGTGGAATGACTCCTGACCTGTGTGCCCTTCTGGGTTTGGCTACTTTAACCCTTAGGTGCTCTGAGTGCCCACCAATCCTCAGGAGACTCCTGATCCTGCTCGCCGGCCTCTCTACTTTGCTGCCCCAGGCCCTATTCCCCAAGCCTCCCCAGGCTCCTAAGAAATGTCTCCTGCCTCTGCTGCCATGCTGTCTGTTTCACAACTGCCACCTGCTGGGTTTACAAGCCTCCCTCTG